CAGAAAGAGACCTGCTCTGGGTCATTTAATTTTGAATACAGTTTTCAATCGTTCAAGTTTTGGATGGTTTATATCTAATGTGTGTTTCATTTTTTTGGAAAGCTATATTTTGTATTTAGGAAATGGTATACTATTTTGCTATTTGTACTGAGTGAGTACATTGGCATAAATATAAAAAAAATTTATATATATACATATATATAAAATATTCTTTTTTGCCACACATTTTTGTGGTAAATTTGTGAGTTTGTCCGATGTTCTACCACAACGTGGCGTCTGATAACAGTGGGGTGGGGTGGGGTTTGTTATGTCTTTATGGAGTATTTAAGTACTTTTTGCAACATAAACGACTCGTTCATCTCTCGCCATTCCACCACCAGGCGGTTTCCTGGCTCCCAGCAGCTTCTCTGTGCGTGTCGGTGTGCGTCGCTCAGCCGCGCCGTGTAGCGAGGGAACCCGTAGGCATTTAGGCGTCATGTAAACCCCCGGGGTTTCCTCCAGAATGAGCCATTCAGCTTTTCTTCCACTATCATTGTCTATTTAATATTTTATTACTAGCGCCTCTGTGTTTTTAACTCTTTAATTTATGATTACGCTCAGACGTTTAATCACCAGAACAAGGATTTCCCTGCTTCATAATGTCCAGAGCTGCTTTATAACCCCCAACCATACTTTTTAATCTAGATGATTTTTTTTTTTATTGTTATTTTATTTTTCATTTCCTGCTAAGATGAAATATTAACCCAATCCCGTTATGGTTCACGACGTGAAAACAGCAGCCTCGCGGCGGTGACCGAACACTGCCCGGGGCTGGGCAGAAGACTGAGAATTTTGGACCGAAACAGCTCGTGGATGGTGGTGAAGCAGACGCCGGTTCCTCCAGGCTGAACTTTGTGTGGGATCGTGGTCCCGGAGGTCACCGGGGCCCTCGCACGCAGAGGAAGGAGCGGGAGCGGTGGCTGCGCCGCCGTCGGTCGCTGCGTTGGCACCGAGGCACCGGGACCAATCCTCCGTGGAACGAGGTGGTGCCAGAGGAGACCTTGGCACCGCGGCCGCTCCGGAAAACATCAAAAACTAAATAAAACCAAAAGAAAAGGGCTGTGCTGCCACATCTGGCACTGCTGGGTACCACCTTGCTTTCCTTGTGGTGAATCGATCTGGCTTGTTTTAGGTCAGCGTTGCGGTGTGCACCGCTCTGAACGTGTGATTTGGTTACTACAAGTATTTGTCCTACAAGGGAGAGGTTGCTCAGCGTTGAAACTGCTGCTATGGAGGATGGAGGGCGCTGAGCTCGCAGCCGGGCAGGGCCTCATGGCAGAAAGACCCCAAATTCCCCGTCCTGAGCGGTCACTTTGTGGTGCCGATGATTGGAGCTTACTCTGCTTTTCCCTTCTGTTCCTCCCCGTGTTCATCCCCCGGGTGCGGGCGCTGGCGTCCCCGGGGCTGTGGGCAGAGACGAGGTGGTGGCATCTGGGGCTGAGAGGTGAGGAAATCCCGAGCCATCGGTCCCCGAGTTTAAATTAAGGGCAATTTCCTGTCATATCCACAAAGCTTATACACTGTGTGTGTGTGTGTATGTAAATAAATCATAGGAATAACACAGAATAGACGGTGGAAAGCTAAACTTCTCCTCTGGTAGGAAGTCATTGGTGCTTTGTGCTTAATTAGCAAGTCCACGTTTTGTTACTAATTGCCTCTCCCCTGACTGTTCAAGCCAAACGCTTCGCTGTTACTTTAACGTAGAAGTAGTTCAGGAAATAATTTCATCCTTGCCGTTTCAAAGTGGGTGTTTAATCACCAGCCATTTGATTGTCATTACTTTTAATTACTGACAGGGTGGTTACTTCCCACTTGGATTTGTGATGGGATGCAGCATTGACCTGTTGTGCGTGCGTTACCTGGGCAGGGGTTTGCTGGGCAGGGCAGCTCCGTGTGGACATTCCCTGGATTTAGAGAAATTGAGCTTTATTTTTTTTAAAGCTTCGGCCAAATTCGTCTTCAAGGAGGAGCAGGGGTTTGTGTTGAGGGCCTGGAGGCAGCTGCGCTGTTTCGGATGCTTTGTGTGGCAGCTTTGTCTTCTCATTCGAAGTCTTTTGGGGGTGAGTGTGTCGTGTCCGTGTCCAGACCGGTTAGGCCAGTTGGGTGTGCCGGTGTCACCAGTCTGTGCCCAGCGCGGGCTGGGGACTGAGCAGAGGGGGTCCCTGCTGCGAATGGGATCAATGATGTTCAGGAAAATCGCAGCAGCAGAGGGAACCCCTGCAGAGGCACACTCAGAAATTCCCTGGCTGCACGGGAGGCTTTTCCC